GAGGGTAAATCGTGATTTGTTTTTTCAAATTGATTTCCATTTGTCACTTGACGATGCCTTTTTGAACTTATCATTCTGATTTTAAGCGAAATGAGGAGTTTTCAGGACTGTCTTGGCAAGAAAAATGGTACTAGCTGACATCAGTACTAGCGTACATGTAGCAGACATTATTTTCGCGGGAGACATATGGCGAAATATATTAAGCATTGAAGCAACGCTTGTATTTATCAGGTAGAACTGCGGGGTTATTAGGCCCTATTTTACTGTTTCAGTAGCACATAATAGTTTTTAACATCTTCTAGATGCTTCCAGTAACTTTAAATGGACAATTATCCGCAAACACGTGTCTATTGTCGGCCTACTTGATTGTATACATTAACTTTATCGGGTATTGTGTTGTTTTTTATTGCCTATAGCTGCGATCATGTACATGTAGGTTTAATGTTTTGTTATACAGACACCAATATGCCACTTACAAATACAGAGCTACAAAAACACTACAGAGAAAGAAAAAAATCTAATGACCGCGAAGCTTTTCTTGTGAAAGATTTTGAACGGTTTAAATGCATGACATAATTTAGACTATAGAGTTTTACTTAACCTCTGTTACTAAGATAATAAATTAAACTCTTAATCTGGTAAAATATGGAATGCGAATTCTACAGATACATCGATCAACATATTAGCGGTGAAATGTATCCAGTAGCGGTAAATGTATTTATGTAGTCCTTGAAAGAAAGCACAACAACCCGTTGTAACAATTTGCCATTTATTGGTTTGATTAAACATGTTTTATCAAATTTTCTATGTTATAATGTAACGTTTGTCGTATCTGTAATACTACAAATTCCGAATTCAGCCTCTAGAGTCTTCTTTAAGCTAAGAAATATCAATGACCTAACCTCCGTTACGAAATTACTCATTTTTCATTTGAACATTGGATATGTGTGTGCTCATTGATCAATGCTCATATCATAATAGATTGATAGCACTTTGTTCATAAACAAATAGTATGATAAAAAAGCAAGTCTGTCCCCAATGATTAATAAAATATTTAAATTGGAATATCTCAGGCTTTGTATTTATAGAAAACGAGCCACTTATTACCAATGTGTTTGCTCCGCATTTTCTATAATTGAAGAGAAATCTTAAATGGGCAATAAAATTTTGAATACATACAAAATCTTAATAATTGAATCAAATATGGAGCCTGTGACCTTTGGCATGATTGAAATATAACCTAATTTAGATGTTACCTAACCTCCGTAACGAAAAAAATACTGTACCATGTTTACAGGTGCATATTTCTTTAAATACAGTAATGGTGTGGGTTAAAATTCTTCTACTACTCTCTGAATACCTCTTCATCAAAATAATATAAAAAGTTTTCCAGTTTTGCAAAGTTCATATCACTGCATTTCTTATTTTGGAATTGTACCCCTTTTCGTGGAATGGCCGCCCTAATAATACTCCACCTGGTAATGCGGACACGGAGAGAATCGGAAATTGGATATGAATAGATTACGGCATGTCAATGACAGCCAGGAAATAGGAAATAGGAAAACTGCAAAAACACCTGGCCCGATAGGAATATAAACATAAATAAAATAGATGCACACAAAAGAAAAAAATCAAGAATAACATGATGAGGTGACACCTAAACAAAATAGCTAACAACTGTAGTTGCATTACACAACAAATTATAAATGTATTGTTAAGAACACATGAATAAAGGGGAAAAATTGAAGACAATAAAGAAATACTAGCCTGTGTGTGATCCAAGACTTGAAGTCATCCAATAAAAGGAAACAGACGTCGCCGAAANGTGTACAAATAACAGTAAAGAAACGTAAGTAATAATACAGTGTAGCTGCTAAAACTGTGGGTAAATATATCCGCAGCTACAGAGCTGAATGACTTCTCACTGAATGCAGCTCGATGGAATTAGTCTCCAAAACATCTTTCATAGAATATACATGTGTGTGCCTAGATACACAGCAGCTAAGACATTCCTTAACCCTGGACATCTGTTATCACCTTGTCTTGGTCAACTACTTAAGGTCAAAATGTGCAGACACAAGACCCAAACAAAACGTTGATGTATTACCCTAAAAGTTAATAGCACCACTAAAACAAACCATTTGCTACATAAATACAATTAATTATCTTAATTGTAGTTTTTCGCGAAACCGTGCAGATTCAAGACCTCCTCTACGATTTTGTCAAGCTAGAACTTTTGACAAATTTCTAAAATCGTAATCCGCAGGCCGTAGAATTATCGTGGATGGCATTGCACAGTTCCTGTACGGACATTACTCGGTGAACTTGCGGTGATCGTGGTAATGGGTGAGCCAGGTCTTGGTCTCTTTCCCTTTCACCTTTGATGGCTTTAAAGTACATAACATAAGTAAAGATGTTTAAAACTTCAAGGCGTGTGGCAACTGCAGTAGGACTGAAAGGACTCTGAACAGTTACTTTTAAACCGAAAACCGATTTTCCCACATGACCTCAAGATTATGTCGAAGATATGAAACTGCATCCGCACGTAATATAAACGTACTCGCAAGAACCCGTAGCTACATACGATGTCAAAAAAATCGCACGGAAAATCGTATACGATTACATCGCACATGTACATGTACGGTGCCCGTGGCAAATGTAAACATGTTGAAACATAATTGTCAATCAAATCATAAGAAAATTTACTTTTGCTTTTTCGTTACTGTTTCAATTTTTCAGAAACATCTACTCTCCCAAGTCTAACCACAGCACCAAAATTGTCCTCCAAGACAAACAATTCACTCACCATAACGTGGCAAAAGTGGTCGTCGCTGGGCGACTTAAGGGGTGGTAGTGCTCACAGCTACGTCATTAGAGCTTGGCGGCAGGATGGCCAACCCAGTAGCGTAAATGTAACAGTATCATCAGAAAATCATACAGCCACTATCGAAAATCTTTATCAGTACACAGAGTATGATATCACTGTAACAATAAAGAATAATGCAGGATATCATGGTCTTCCTAGTCCACCAACCGCTGCAAGGACATGTGGAGGTAATTAAGATATTTTCACGGGGATTTGCCTTATTTGGTTTTATAATCTGAATCAAGTACACATGCACTTCAAAATCCCATTATAATATTATCATTGTTTGATGTCCAGTTTTTTTTTTTTTTTTTTTTTTGCTGTTGAAGTGATTAAGCATTCTTTCAGTTCCCGCGGCACCACTGAAACCAAACGTCACTTCCCTTCTTGTGCCATCAAAGAGGAATGCTTACATAGAACTTAATACTACGGTGCGTAGGTCTAGATTATGACTTTCTACATATTCTTTAATCCCTGAAATAACATTGCTGGTATTTCTGGTATTGCATATAGCTACAGGTATTTTTAGAGTATTTAAGTCACAAAGTATCTCAGTTCTACCTTTTCTTGAAAAAACGTTTGTATGAGACCAGACATATACTGTCTCAATTCTTCAGTTCGTTTCGCAATATTGACTCTTTCAATATTGAAATAACTGTGTTGTTAAAGAAAATGTTACCAGGTGTGATTGGATTCGGACCAGTAGCTGTGTATCAAAATGAATAGAATGCAAATTGATTTTTTTTAAATAAAATACATATAAATTACATGTTTGAGCCACATTAATTCAGGTACTCGTAACCATTAATTAATTAATTAAATAATTTAAGGGGATGAACCAAGCGATCCATAGATGTGATGGATTTGAAAAATTGACTGTTCGATATGAAGGAGAATTCAACAATGATACCACAGACGTGCTACATGTCAAGGAAACACAGCTGATTACAATTACCAACCTCACAACATATAGTAAATACACCATCTACCTGACAGCAGTTAACAACTTACATTTGGAAGGACCACCAGTGACAGTGACTCATAAAACACCTGAAGGGGGTAATGATTTTATTCAAATACATTTTGAAATCCTACTTACTCAGTATCTGGTATAATTTTAATCCATTGCCTATGTAATTAATTATTTCTGTTTGTGTGAAAAGAAGTGGTACAGTTATTCTTGACACAGGATTACTGTGAACTTTTGACTGGACTATTATTTAAAATAACTACTGTATGATTGGAATTTTCTACGAAACACTGTTATTGTATGAAAACAGTTCCACCAAAGATGGCGGTACCAGAAGTGGCATCTACAGGAGACAGCTTCATAGAGTTAACATGGAGTGTGCCGTCCCCTCCAGGTGGCGTTATCGTCAGTTACGAGATATCGTACACTCAACAGTCCAGTCTGTGGGATGAAACGGTGGCTGATGCTGACAGTTCTAGTACAATTATTGGCAACTTGCAAATCAATACGACCTACATGATTCGAGTAAGTAATTATCATTTCACTCATAATGTCCGTCATTTTAATGAACAAAACGAAACTTTTATGTTTTATGAAAAAAACAAACAAACAAACAAGTTGTTACAGTATTTCACCGAAGTTCTACATGTACTACAGTGTATTAATTTATTACTATATTTCCCAGCGTGAACGTTATTATCCTTATAGATCCGTGCCAGTACTGCCGTCGGCTACGGCGAATATAGCGATCCAATTCAGGAAACAACTCAACCAAAGAGAGGTAACCCAATACTGCCAAAAATAATGGCTTCCCTGAGCAATTTTGTGTAGCAATTGTTTGCTGGCATCACATATTTTTATACATGTGCATGCATGATGACTGCAAACATCATATCGTGCTATATAAAGTTTGCAGAACAATATGTATATGTTTCACGCTCAAGTGCCTTTTTCTTACATCATGGTTCAAGGTATTTATCTAAATGGTAAAATATTCAAGGATCTTAACCTAATAGTGCTATTTTCTTCCTAGAGTCTTCAGCCCATGTCACAGGTATAAATGGTGGTGGTGTAGCAGGAGGTGTGTTGGGGGTTCTGGTACTGGTGGCAGTAGTTTTGGCTGTAGTTGTCATATACAAAAGGTAAATTTAAATAGACCTAGGAATCAAGTTAAATGAGTAAAATAATGTATGTATACATGCATATACAGTATATAAAATGCGCACGCGTTTATTTAAAGAAATGAATTTTACTGAGTTGCCTAATACAACATCTATTTATTCACAAATCATACAGCGTTCACATGCAATTAACAGGTATATGCAAATGCCTTTATTATTTCACTTTGTTTCTCTGTATGAGAGTCTTATTCATGTCCAAATTTTACACTGATAACTGTGTACTTGTATTGCAGAAGTCGTCGCCCAGACGAGTCTGATAGAGTTAATGTCTTTTCTGAAATGCAAGGAGGACAAGGTAATATAATTTTGTTGATTTACATATCTGTAGCATTTACAGCTTTAAGTATATTCCTTTTTCAATGGAAACCCAATGTATTTGTTTCCCTGTGGTCCCTTTTATAACTTCAGATGAGCTTGTACATGTAGATGGATTACAGACAGAAAGTGTGTGCGAAGACACGGAAGACGAGCACCTCTACGGCAATATAGATCAAAACACAAAAATCCCTGTAGATGACATTTTTGAGGTCATGAAATGGAAAAGCAGAGATGTTCTTAAGGCTGAATATCAGGTATGTGTGTGTCTGCGCAATGAAAAAATATTAACAGGAAATCTCCCAAGTGGAAAAAAAGCTAGTGTTTACATTGGTGTGGTGTACTCCTGATCGGTGTACACGTGCCTGGCTTACATAACTGTCACTGAAAAAAAATGTGAATTTATAAAATGAAATCTACACAATCCGCCATTGTATGCTTAATTAAAGTGAAATGCATGTGAACAAACGAATGTAAAACAAAACCATTTTCAACTATTTTCAGAAATTCCCCACCACATTCATTTGTCCTTGTGAAGCCGGCCAAATACGAGAAAACAGACTAAAGAACAGGTTTCAGAACATTATGCCATGTAAGTCATCAAATTTTGAAGTTCGAATAAAGCGATTTTTTTAATGGCTTCATGACCTAGTTATGGGGTAGGGACTTGTGCTACGTTATAACAACGAACTTTCAAATTTGAACATGTTGGTATTTTAATACTTAAAAGTTTAATTTATTTAATAATGGATAATTTATTTTCCATCAGACGACCATAGCCGAGTTGTATTGGATCTTTTGTCGGGTGATCCCAATTCTGATTACATCAACGCAAACTTCATTGATGTAAGTTGTTTTAACAAACCTTAACTTATTTCTTTTATTAAACATCACCATGCTTTTTAAGGCTTCTTTCAAATACCCAAATAACACACGACACTAACAACAAAAACGCCCCTTATTGAATCCAATGGGCCTTGATTTTATTATTACATTTCCTTAAATACATCCATGTACCGGTCATGAGTATTATTATTATTATATGTAGAATAGAGCATGGTACTGGTCAAAAGCCAGAATTCTACAAGAGGTATAATAATTATGTTGACAACTGAACCTGAAGCTTAATGTGCACTCTCCAATTTCAGGGCTATAAGAGACCACGTGCATTTATCGCCGCACAAGGTAAATTTTGTATTTTGATAGATAAATCATACAAACACATACGAACACAGACAAGAAAGGGCACGGACTCACAAACACACTTTAATGTGTTACTTTCCTAATTCCTGACGTTTGAAGGCAAATATGAAACGTACTGAATGGCCTCATTATTAAATGTTCACAAAAAACTGCACTTTTTCCGGTTTACATGTAGGTCCAAAATCGAATACCGCGAAGGACTTTTGGCGGATGATATGGCAAGTGAACTCACCACAAATTGTAATGGTGACGAAAACTGTGGAAATGGGCAAGGTATGCCAGTCGCCAAAGAATTATTATTATTATAAGTTAGAGGAAATGGTGCATTTAGAAGTGCCTGCTAGATATAAAGTACAGTGTACTTGGTACATGTTAAAATACAATTGCGAGGGTCGAACTTACCAAACGCTTCAAAGTTACGCGGTTAAGAATGACATTCTCCATTTATTGCATACCTTGAGCTATCATTTTGGGCGAAAACCTAGAACATATGTAAATAATAGTGCTTTTTCAATTTAGCAAAAATGTGAACAGTACTGGGCAGACGAAGGAGTGAAACAGTTCGGTGAAATAGAAGTGACTATGCAGGATGAAGTTCATGGACAGGACTATTTTGTCCGAAATCTGAAGTATTGTAAGGTAAGCAAGATTACTGTAACTCACCCACATGTCATATTAAACCACCAAAAGCTGTTATGCCTCACGTGTTTTATCTATAGTTTAATTGAAAATTTGCCTAAAGGGTAATAATGTGAATACTCCTCTGATTTTCCCGTAAATCTATCAAAGCCTTGATGTTTTCTTGAAGGTTGGAGAACTAGAAGTACGTACTGTTAAACAGTTCCATTTTACCGGTTGGCCTGATCATGGTGTGCCTATTGATTCAACAGCGTTGATAAAATTCCGAGAGGAAGTTAAGAAATACCAAAATCAGGTCCATGACCAAGGACCTATCATTGTACACTGCAGGTAAAACAGGACTTTCTTAATTTCACTCGCACAGATTAATGTTAATCAACAAGAATCTTTAACTTTGTATTTGGTTTATTTTTACAACATTCTACAAGAGATTTTACATCATTGTATTCTTCACGACAGCTGAGACTATAATGGGTGTCGGGTTGTCCAGTTATTCTTACGTAGCAATTAACAAATCAATATTGAATTACTGATCGAAATGTGTCTCCGTTACATTTAAGTGCTGGGGTTGGTAGGACCGGAACCTTCATTGCACTGGACTACCTGTTTGATCAATCGCATGCTGAAGGAAAGATCGACATTTATCAACTCATCCAAGGAATGCGAGCATCGCGACCGAAGATGGTGCAGACAACGGTATAGAGCTACATCGTAGAATGCTAGTGTGCGAATTAAAAATCTCAAAACCTTGAACAGGGGTTAAACAATGGGTTACCTATATCAGTTGGACTTTTGGTCGTCTTAAATGTGTTATGTGTAACGATAATATATAAGGCGAGGCTAGGGTCCAACATTGGTTAGTGCAATTAATAAATGAATAATAGAGAGGCTTGAAAGACTGCATTCATTGGTAAAAAATGAGAGTCAATCATCATTTGTATATATATTGTATTTGAATGGTGTTTTTGTTACAGGAGCAATATTACTTCATCCATGACGTGATGTTGGAAGAACTGCATTGTGGTTTAACCTCTATACCAGTGCAAGACTTTGCCACTCGTCTGCGGAAACTGAGACAAAGAAATAAGTCGGGACTGACCAAAATGGAAGAAGAGTTTGAGGTAGGCCGTGAACAAAATTTATTTTCGTTGTATGTTACCTCCGCCAAGGTCATGATTTCATCACCGTTTGTCTAATTGTCTGTTCGTCACTAGTGTAACCCCCCCCCCCCCCAAAAATAGTAGATGGGTTTTGATGAAAAAATCAGGAAAGGTCACAAGTAGACCAACTTAAAAATGATAAGATTTTGGTGTTGATCCTTATCACCATCCACCCTACGTGTATTTTTTTAAAGTAAAATGCAGCGTTGCACAAGCTTCGTATTTTTGTCCATCCGTCCTGTCATGCATGCGCAATTAGCTCCACCCCTTTGACTTCTTATGAATATGAAATACTTAGTCGAGACTGATGCAACGTGTGTAATTTACTACTATCCCATTTTTACTACTTCTGCCCACTGTATCGAACAACTAGCACAATCAATAACAGTGCCACCTGTACTATTTCATCCTTGTTATCGGTATGCCACTGATGCAATCAAATAAGTTGACTCTATATCTATGATTTTATTATTAATTAATAAAGAGTAATGGGAATCTACACGTAGTTGCCTTGATGGGGGGCAGCGCTCGGTGATCGTTTAAATAATTTTTCAATGCTTTCAAAAGTTTTAAATACATGCGATGTTTTTATACATTGAGCCACCACCTAGGAGACATCATTAACCATTCATGACCCAAATACATATTATTATTATTGCAATTATTATTGTTATTGTTTTTGTAGTAGCTGTTGTTGTTGTCATTAATAATTATCATTATTAATGTGTGCCTAATTATTTTTTTCTGCCGAGCAGATACTGAACCTTATGTTGCCTGAAATAGAAGAAAGCTCCATCAAGACGGCCTTGGAACCCATCAACATTGAGAAGAATAGAATGAGGAATATTGTAGCAGGTAGCATATTCACAAAACCCCTTCAGTTGTACTTTCACACATTTTCTCAATTATCCTGTTATTTGCATACTCGTTTACTTATTTTTAAAGAAGGTATAGTATGTTTGGTCATGTCTTTTACCCTTTACCCTTCAGATTCTGCAACGTGTGTGTGTGTGCTATTTTTAATCACTAGTCTTAGTAAGAAACTAATTAAAGCTTTCGTGAGATAGTGTTCTATGTGAACAGGAAAATAATGTATACTGTGTTTTTTAGGTAACCACTGCAGACCGTACCTTGTATCACACGCCAAGGAGAGCACCGACTACATTAATGCGGTGTTCATAGACGTAAGTTTTAAGATTTATTAAGGAAATGATAATCGTTTAATGTTTACTCATGTAATTATATTTCATTTACTCATGACACACTATACAGTGTAACTCTTCCTCACAAGATTTGGTGACGTATATGTGAGTATTGTTTCTTTTCGATTGTCAAGATCGATTCATACTGTGTTTTTTAATTTGTCTGTTTTAAAGGTAACAAAAATATGTTGGTGTCATTATTGTACAGTAAGATATTGTTTTTAAACTTGGACACATTAATTTTATGATCATTTTATTGAACCTTTCAAGTATGAAATAAATCTACATTTTGTAGGGTTACGAACGCCGAGATGCCTATATCGTGACTCAGATGCCTCTGCCTGATACGATCGTTGACTTCTGGAGTATGTTGTATGACCAGCAATGTGCGACTATAGTTATGCTGAATGAAGCGAACGAAGATAGCAAGGTAAGAAAAAATAAATAATCGCACGAATTTAGATATCGGTGTATTCTACTCAACAGTAAATTTTTTGCTAAAGTTGATTTTAGATCGTTTAGATCCAATTATGGCTCTTTTGAGACAAACCGTCTATTAGTAGTAGGTACGTTTATTGAGACATGGCAACCAAAATGGAGTAAGAATAAAATTTACTAATTTACAAATTAAAATATTGATATATAATATAGGATATGCGAATAGAACTTAATGAGATTTAAAAAAAGGATAAAATAAAATAAATAAATAAAATAAATTTTTGCACAGGCACCTGAAAGTTAGAGTAAAAGAGAAAGTCTGTTTTATACTTTACACATTTATTCCCCACTGCCCGATAACATACATGACAGCTACATTGGCGTTTTCTTCAGAAAAATGCCGTTTACTGGCCGACGGAAGAGATGACTTCTCACGAGCATTTCACCGTGGAAGTGATTTCTATACGTCAGATTGGGGAATCTATCACCATCAGGGAGTTGAAGTTGGTTAATTCAAAGAGAGTAAGTGCCTTTTTTCATAACCCTTAGCAAAATTTGAGGCTTCTTGCAAACAGTGTCCGCAAAATTTTGGAAGAAGGAATTTTAGCATTCAGAAGAGATATACTGTACTAGAGGTGTTTTAAATTTGAAAGGATATGGAGACGTTTGCATACTTGCCGTTAACTTAAGATGCTCTTGCTAATTTGAAGCAACAATGTTTTCTGCAACAATTTGCAAACAGTTTCGTGCAAATTTTCTAGTTTTCAGCAAATCTGTGGCAAATTTGATGCAAACTTTTCATTTTGTTAAGGAAAAATGTACGATCGGATTTTATGCTTGTTGATCCTGGTTGCGTTCTCAATACATTTTTTACAATTAATTAATCAATAAATTAATATTTTATTATATTATATTTGGATGTATTTTTGGATAATCAAGCAAAATGTGTCATATGATCAGTAACTTATCCTTATTTGAACAGTCATTAAAAAAATGATCGGTAAACAGAATAAACCATTCACTTACAATAATACTGTGATTATTATTTAAGTTTTTTAAATTTCTAGCACTCGGATCCTTCAAGAACCGTCTGCCAATTCCAGTTTCATGACTGGATGACATCGGAATCAGTGCCGCCATCACCGCGTGCGTTTCTTGAGCTGTTTGACGCAGTTCAACAATGGCAAAAGAAAAGTGGAAACACTTCCATAACTGTTCACTGCATGTAAGTTGAACATACGCACAGACGGCTAGTCAATATTTGTACAGGGTTCCCAATTCTATAAAAATTGAGAACACTGTTACATTCAGACTTCCAAATTTTTTCAGAAGGAAGTTCATTTATATACCTTAATTGTGGTATAAGTCACTGAAGTCAGCAGTAATTATTTTCACAGTAAATTTACCGCTTTCCTCTAACTTACACCTGTCTATTTGCTTTTCACTGCTTGTTTTTTTTTGAAACCGGAAGCCGTATTTTATAATTAAATGTAAATTGATTGAATATGGACAATTACAAATATGTTCCTTCATTGCCATCTGTTCTTCTTTTGAAAAAACTTACAACATCTATTGATATTTATTTTCTAATCTACTGATCTACTGTAATGCACGATCATACCAAAAGTCATATCTTTTTCTACATTAAAGGAACGGAGCCCACCAGAGCGGGTTATTCTGTGCCGTGGCTCGCATACTGGACAAGCTGAAGGTGGAGCAGGAAGTGGATGTCTTCCACGCGGTGAAGGCTGTCAGACAAAACAGACCACATCTGGTCGATAGCAAGGTAACATGCATACACAGCGTTAGAACAGTGCAATATTTGTACACGTATATCTGTCTGGGTTGATATTCACTAAAAGTTGAGACCGTGTGTACCACCCGTAGTGTTAGAAAAGGAATAGTCTTGTTGGAATAATATATAATGTTTATTCTCCTCTCTGTCTTTACCAGTTATATAATACTTGTCAATCAACGACGGTTTAAACTGAATAAATAAATAAATAAATAAAATACTTAACTGCTTTAATGCAATAATTACAATTGTAATAATCTAGAATGCTGTAATTGAGAAATTTGCACTAGCACAATACAGCACAATTTATGCACCCAACATCTTTGAGACAACTAGCACAATTTGTGTATCATGAGACAGCAGAGAAAGCATGAAGCGCATTACTCCTTCAGACTAATTGATTGAACCTTAAACATGTTTTTCTGATAAAAATTCTACTGCACACGTCAAGGTTTGTCATAAATATCCTTAAATTCCACAGCAAAGAACTAGTACAGTGTAGATAAATCAATTAAAATCATTGCGAGTCAAACTGCTGCTCAGTAAGCGTTGAATTAAAAATTAAGCCAAAAACAACAATGCACTTAACTAAGCGCATCTTAAATTCTCTCTAGTTACACAAAATGGCATTAAAAACAATTTTACTCACATTCCTGGTTGGACAGGGTTCTCAAAAGATATACACTAAGCTTGAACAACTTCTGGGATCATCAAAACACGTTTTCTTCTTTACAAGAACTGAACAAAGGAATGTGCTGTGCTCTCTGGCTAGGAAATTTAAACCCCCTCAAGGAATCTCATTAAAAAAGAACCAGAAGAAAATCATATGCTTCTTAATACTTCCTATCAGCAATAGGGGGCAGCACCTTACGGTCTACTCCTATTAGCCATTGGCAATACAGGGCAGAACTTAATAGTTTGATTAAATGTTCAGCTATGTAGAAATTTGCCAGGTGTTACACCATATTTAGATGACGTCCCGATAATTACGTACTTGACTATATATACACAACACTTTGAATTAACGTATTTACTCCCAGCATTTTTATATTCGCATACACTGTATAAATGATGTCAATATACAGTACAGGTACATGAATTATATTTATCTTGTAGGAGCAATACTTCTTTTGCTATGAAGTGGTTGAAGAATACGCCCACAGGTTCGACACGTACACCAACTTCCAGATGTAGGATTGAAGACGTAACCTTTACGGCCTTCATCGAGATGGAAAGCAAAGACTGTTATATGATAAAAGTACATTATTTGTTTCTGCCATCAGTGTCTTTTATCAAGGGTTTAATAAGACGTTTCTGACCCCCCTGGCCTTTGCCTGTGTGCCTGCTACTTTATAGGGAGGGGAGGCGGGAAATCACTGACTCACATAAAATATTGTCATAGTATTTGTTCCCCGATAACAGCGTAATATGTATAACTTTTATAACGATTTTATTTCCCTGTTTTAAAAGCTTTTGATAAAATCACATCAATATAGTCAATTAATCCATTAGGTATTTTATAATGGTATGACATATTTTAAAACTATGCAGAATTGACAATTATTATAGCACAATTTATTCAAGAGCGTATGAATGTGGAATTACGTAGATCGAAAATACATAAATACATGTATATGATGATGGTTCTACATGTATAAGCATGATCATATTTTAAAATATTCCAGTGTCAAAACAATCGGCTCCTTACTGGTGTTAAGTTGCTTATGCCTGGAGACCACAATGATCTATTAATGCAAACAATGTGCTTGTTAGTTTAATTTAGGTAACGTTACAATAGTATCATGAGTGGTTTCATTTTTTTCTCTTAAAGGGCAGCCTGCACTTTAAACGTGCCCATAAAGCTCACAATTACATGTATAGTTCATGTCGGGGGTTGTTATGTTAATAGACTATTCCAGTTACAGTGTTCACGATGAAACTTTTGCAGAAATTCAGACACACTTGTTCTCAGGCTAGCCATATATAAACTTAGTGAAAATGGAAATAAAGTAAATGGAAACAGAACACATTTACATAGTTACCCAAGGAGTGATTATAGTTGGAAGATTAAAGTAATTAATGCAGTTAATGCAGTTACACCCTACTAAAAACCAGTATTCCGACAGATATTCTGAGAAATAACCATGTAAACATATATTTGTATTAACCAAGGATGCGTATACCTTCTTGTTAGTTATATATACACACATTTTTAAGATCTTAAGAAATTCTTTAGAACGCATTCATTTTTACGAATGTTATGACATTTTCTCAGGCTTCCTGCTTTTCTTTATTATTATTATTATTATTATTATTATTATTATTATTATTACAAATTAACGTTTCATACTTTCGCAGGTATTTCTACAGCATAAAAATGATAGATGGTAATGCCTTGACAATAACAATCCAGATTTGTTATGAGAATAAATAATAATGATCAAATTGAGTTTTGCTTTACTTTTATAATAACGAATTAAGTTCTTAATGGTTGAAATGTGTGTGTGTGTGGGGGGGGGGGGGGAGATGGGGGATGAACATGAGGAGGGGAAATGGGTCCCCGGGGTCTTCCTTTGTTGTTTGAAACATTAATTTTCATTTCATTGAATTTTTCAGAAACCAGTGTCGTTTAAAAAAACGATTCTGGCAACCAGAAAATAGTTTCGTTTTTCAAAAACGATTCTGGGAAGCCAGAAATGTTTTTACTGAGGGAAACAGAAGTGGACAGACGGAGAGAAGACTGGTGATTAGCAGGTAACCTTCACCGCGGAAGCTGTGCTGAATATTACGGTCTCTCTCTCCGCCGTGCGGTGACGGCCGCCGATCGATAAAATATCCTATGTAATAAATTAATAATAACTCGAACAGATTTTTACACAACATATTGTAGATTTTCTTCATGGATTTCGCTCAGTTAGTTTTATGCTTTGAACGGTGAGTGAAAGTGATTTAATGAAACAATGCGCCGAGCATTTTTTTCGGAATTTTCTAAACAAGAGAAAATTGACATAATACAAATATGGGCCAATTCTTTAAGTTAATTTGCTCAGTTTAAAAAGTTGTGTTTTATTTGTGCATAAATAATTAATTATGTAGAATTTATTTATGGAAAATAACCTATGGCTTTACACAAGGCGATTCAAGTGTGAAACTTGAGCGCTTTCTTTAAAAGTGTCCATTTGTGTTTCAAAAAGTAAGAAGAAAAAAAGAAGAAATATCATCAACCTTACGGTTACGCGTAAGATTGGATGAAAATTATGTCATTTCTATCACAATCCAGCCCCAGTTCGTTCATTTAACCCATGAAAGCGGATTTATGTCCAGTCACGCAATATCAAGTACTCGGTATGGAGGCTTTGAAAATTTATTTATATTTTATAAATTAAAATTAATTTTGTCGTGTGTGTGTGTGTGTGTGTTTGTAATTTTCACTTAACCAACACCTTATCCTCTTTTTGAGACGGATAGGCCTACTTATTGTTCCTTCTCATCAACCAGATGATAATTCAAACCGAAGCATTCGCACGGAAAGTAGGTGACCTCTTCATTATTATGTAAATCAGGTGAGCGTTTAGGTGAGAGGTACTCAGATAGGACCAAGGTCAGTAGAAGATGGAGAAGAAGGATGTCCCATGCCATATTCCTGATATTGCCACATGTTGACCGAAAAGATGGCACTGAAACCGGCAGCAGTACCTCGTAAGTTCCGTATAGATGATAGAAAATGTAAGGTAACATTTCTTAGTTTTGCATTGACGATATTTTCCCAAAATGGTGCACTCTAGGCATAATGCCCAACTGACGAGAAGGATACTTTCTCCTAACTTTCCTTCAGTGCCTTTTGGGCACCCTTTTGTTTCTGATACCATTAACTGTCCATGAGGGTTCAATATGAAGATATATTTAGATATATATACACTGTATATTATATTTGTATAATTTAAAAGCTTAATTGCGATTTATTAATTATAACGCAAAATATGCTGACACGAACTGCTGTAATGAGCATGTAATGCTTTATCAGATCTTTAGACATTGTTTTATGTATACGGATTTATTCCTTTAATTCCAGTGACTCCAAGTACCGTTTTCGAAGGTACCAGAAGCGTCCTACTCAAAGACACGTTTCGTGTTCAGCATATACAGCCCCACGCCCATGCCAAGATAGCCTCCTATGCCGACGTTTGTCTGCTCGTTTATATGCAGGGACGACATTTAGTACGGAATTTTATGTTTGCTTTTGCTTGTAACATTCTGCTCCAAAACGTATATTAAACTAAAAAAGCACTCAGAGATCGCAGACCTCCGCCAAGGCAGCAAAGTCTCCATTAAATGCCGTGTCACCCCTAAATTTTCGATATTTTTGATTATTGATTGATTATTTATCCGGATCACCACCAAAAATTAATCATCTGTTCCTTGGCCCACTTCTGACAGTTCCTGAATATTTCATCAAAATCGGTCCATAACTTAGTTTTTTGATTATTGATTATTGATTTATCATTGATCCGGATCACCACCAAAAACTAATCATCTCTTCCTTGGTCCACTTCTGACAGTTTCTGAAAATTTCATCACAATCGGTCCATAACTTTCCATAATGTTGATGACAGACAGACAGATAGACAGACAAACAAACAAACTGGGGTGAAAACATAACCTCCTTGGCGGAGGAAATTAAAAGACGAATAAAATGAGCTTTCTTTTTATGAAACTTCTCATAGAAATTAAATCCATACTAAGCGTCTGACCTGCATGATGCTCGGTTGTTTCTTTTGGTAATTGTATGATACTATGTCGTAGTACAGTGCTCTATCTGATCATGGTGTTATAAGGGTAATTTACATGCTTTTGGGTAGGGGTTGATACCTGTTTTTTTTTCAAACCACCTGAAATGTTAGATTTAAACTCCTCATTTAACAGAAATAATGTGTGTATAAAATGATAAAGTGATTGATTTAAAAACATCATAGATTAATTTCCAAGAAGAGAATGTTTTCTGTTTGTCACTGAAAATGTGCGTGTGGACAAATCTGCAATTTGACACCTCGCTGTGAACTTGAAGTTGTACTCTTATTCATTTTAAATTAATTATGTTGACCTCTGGGAAGGAAACACATTGCAACCGCATTACGTAAAATGCATACAGGGTATAGGAAAATTTTAATTACATTTATCGTGTGTTCAGTTGAAAAAGAGGAAGGGATGTTAATCTACAAAAGACACTGTTAATAAAACGTATAACGCCTTAGAAATCCCAACATTGTGTAAAAGGCAAATGTGGCCACGTAATTTCAGAATTGTCTACATGTACAATATCGATCTTTTAACATGTATGAATATGGCTGTGTGACTGTGAATAAACTTCCTCTGGTTCTCGGTGTTTTCAGTACTGGGCGGGGACCAAATGTCCGTTTCCAGAAACAAAGTTAAACCATGGGGTGGGGTAAAAATTGTCATCCAAAATAAATACCAATTTAATATTGCATTAGTAGAATGGAGATAAGAAAAGTGTTCCTATAGTTGGCTACAAAAATTTCCCAGGATTGGGATGATTTATATGCCGTTTAGGATTTATATTACAAAACAAAAGTGTCGAAAAACAACGGGGGCATAGACTTCATTTAGATACCGTTTGTCCATTAAAATGTTTCTGTAGGACTGACATTAATCATAGCCTTTTGCTTTCCATATTTTCAAAATCACTTGAGCTGTGGCAAAGACCAATTTTTGGGAGATAATGAATATTCTGAAAGGTTTCTATGAATTTTTTGACCGCCAACTTTTGTCAATTTTGCTCAAAAAGAGTGAACAATTAATAATTCTTAAACAAAATTATAGATTTTTTAAAATTAGATAATATGATTTACTATTTTATCTGTTACACTTCAGTCCATTCTAACAGTTTGGTCAGTTATTTATTTAAGAATTTTACGGAATTATCACCTAAAATGTTATTTCAAAGTATTTTGTTCTTCTAAATGGCAAATTCGATATTCTACCAAAGTGAATGTAAAGCTTAATACTTTCTTTGGTTTTAATTTTTAAAGTGAAAAACATGCCTAAAATCTTTCACAGGAGCGTTCTAATTACAGTTGTTCTGTGTTCTTATTCATTTTAATTTTATTCGGGAGCAAGGGGTTACTGAGCAAGACCGGCTAGGTTAGATATCAGTCCTGCATGTCCATGTTGTG